ACGTGCTTCCTCTATTTTGCTGCTGTGATTGATCTAGGAGACTAGGACTGTTGGATCTTGGGAAGGAAGCCATGTTGGCTTAGAGTCTTAGGCAGTTAGACGCCATGGAGGAGTGGGAACCAAACTGAATTAGTATGCTAGCATCTATTGTTAGTTTGTTAATTGTTACAGTTAGACGCCACTCATTCTTTATTTAATTAGACTTTTATTTAGTTAGACGCCACTCATATTGTTAGTTTTTTAATTGTTACAGTTAGTTTGTTAATTGTTACAGTTAGACGCCATGGAGGGGTGGGAACCAAACTTGTGATTTTCGATTTTAGTTGCTAGTTCCTACATTCATGCAGTATGCTGGCCACTCATTCTTTATTTAATCAGCCTTTTGAATCTATTTCTTATTTTTGTAGGAATATCTAGCACTGCATCCACAGGCCAGGAATCAAATGAAAATAATGCAGACCCAGCTTGGAAGCACTGCACCATGCCAGATGTCAACAAGAAAAATTCTCTCAAGTGCAACTACTGTGAGAAAATTTATCATGGTGGAATAACTAGAATGAAATTCCACCTTGCTAAATTTCCTGGACAAGGTGTTGCAAAGTGTCCAAAAGTTCCTTCTGATGTCATAGCACAAATGCTTAAGTTACTTGCAAAGAAGATTAATAACAAGAAAATGAAGGATAAGGAGAAAGAAGAGGATAGAGCTGCTGTGGATTTGAGCCATTCTGAAGGAGAGGAACATAGTGATGCAGAGGACAACAACTCAATTATTGTGTTGAAAGATGCAAAAAGCAAAGGTACTTCTTCAAGTCCGATGGATAAGTTCTGTAAACTAACACCAGAAGAAGTGTTGGCTTTAAAGGGCAAATCTGTGCTTCCTGATAAGCTGCAAAGCAAGCTTACCACTGAAAAAAGGGAAGAGAAAAGGGACAGAGCATGTGAATACATCTGTCAATTTTTTTTTATGAAGCAGGTATCCCACACAACACTGTTAAGCTTCCTAGCTTTGATCTCATGCTAGAGGCTATTGGAGACTTTGGCAGGAACTTGAGAGGGCCAACTCCATATGAGATGAGTGGGAAATTCTTACAAAAAAGGAAGAAGAAAGTGCAGGAGTCATTGAAGTCTCATAAAGAGTCTTGGGAGCTACATGGATGCACAATTATGACAGATGCTTGGACAGACAGGAGAGGTAGAGGTGTGATGAATTTGGTAGTTCATAGTGCATATGGTGTTTGTTTTCTTGATTCAGTGGATTGTTCAGCTGTGAAGAAGGATGGCAGGTACATTTTTGAACTGGTTGATAGGTGTATTGAGGAGATAGGGGTACAAAATGTAGTTCAAGTTGTAACTGACAATGCAAGACCCAATGAGACAGCAGCAAGTTTGTTGAAAGCAAAGCATCCCTCTATCTATTGGAATGGCTGTGCTGCCCATACCATTGATTTGATGTTGGAAGATATAGAAAAAATGCCAGGAGTTGCCACAACAATCAGCAAGGCAAAGTGCTTGACTGTTTTTCTATATGCCCATACTAGAGTTTTAAGCTTGATGAGGAAGTTTCTTTCTAAAGATTTGGTAAGGTGTGGTGTTACAAGGTTTGCAACAGCTTATCTCAACTTGAAGAGTTTGCTAGAAAACAAGAAACAACTGCAGAGGCTTTTTAGAGATGATGAGCTCAACGAACTTGGTTACCTAAAAAGTGCCAAAGGGAAGAAAGCAAATGGTATTGTCAAATCTGAAAATTTTTGGAAAGGGGTTGAGACTGCTGTGAATTACTTTGAGCCATTAGTTAAGGTGTTGAGGAGAATGGACAGTGACGTTCCAGCTATGGGATTCTTGTATGGTTATCTCATAGAAGCTAAGAATGAGATCTCTAAGAGGTTCAACAATGATAGGACCAAGTTTGAAGACGTTTTTCAATTCATTGACAATAGGTGGAACAGTAAGCTGAAGACACCTTTACATAGGGCTGGTTACTACCTCAACCCATTCTATTACTATCAAAACAAGTTGGCTATTGAGGAGGATGCAACTTTTAGAGATGTTGTAGTCAATTGCATTACCAAGCTTGTTCCAAATGAAGAGACTCAAGACAAGATCATTGAAGAGCTGGAGAAGTTTCAGAATGGTGAAGACTCCTTTGGCAAAGATATGGCTCAAAGGCAGTGGAAAAACATCAATTTTGATCCAGGTATGAAAAAATGAATGGTGGTTGTTTTTACCATAGCTAAATGGTGGCTGTTTTTACCTATCTAAATGATGGCTGCTTGTATCTTATTCTTAGCTAAATGGTGGCTGTTTGTATCTTATTCTTAGCTAAATGTTGGCTGTTTGTATCTTATTCTTAGCTAAATGTTGGCTATTTGTATCTTATTCTTAGCTAACTGTTGGCTGTTTTTACCTTATCTAAAGCTAAATGTTGACTGTTTTTACCTTATCTAAAGCTAAATGTTGGCTGTTTTTACCTTATCTAAAGCTAAATGTTGGTTGTTTTTACCTTATCTAAATGGTGGTTGTTTGTACCTTAGCTAAATGGTGGTTGAATCATGGAGGTAGTGCACCAAACCTGAGAAAGTTAGCTGCAAGAATTCTAAGTTTGACATGCAGTTCATCAGCTTGTGAGAGATGTTGGAGTTCATTTGAACAAGTATGAATTACACCCACTTAAACTTACTATTCCTATGTTCAGTTCAGCCTCTACCTCTAGTGATATTTTTACTTATTGATAGTTTGACAATGAAACCTATGCAGGTCCACACAAAGAGATGCAACAGACTCCTTCATGACAGAATGAGGGATCTTGTGTTTATCAAATTCAACTCAAGACTAAAGCAAAAGAGGGACAACAAGGATAGAGATCCCATTGAGATACCTGTGCATGATGTAATTTTAGAAGATGGAGAGAATGAGTGGATCACTGGCATTGAACAAACAGAAGGAGGTTCAGATCAAGAAAAAGAAAAAGAAACTGGAGCATCATCACAAGGACTTGTAGCTGCACCTAGAGTTGAGAGAACTAGGAGAGGTGGCCAGGAAAATTCAAGGAGTAGGAAGAGAAAGCGGTTGATCCCAACATTTGAGGAGGAGGTGTCATCTCCATCTTCTGACGGGGGAGATGACAATGATATTGATGATCAGCCTATTGGTTCAGATTCTGAGGCTGCACCATTAAGTCCATCTTCATATTAGTTTGTTACTTTGGTTGCATGAATTTAATCCTGTTATCATCTATGTTGGTTGCTGAACACCATGTTAGTTTGTTACTTTGGTTGCTGAACACCATATGTGCCTTCATTTGATTTTATGCCTTTATGGCTGAACTGAACAACATGTTAGTTGGATTGTTGTGTGATGTGAACTAAGAAGTGAGAACTTATTTGGTTGTATGCCTTCAAGGTTATGGATTGTATGCACTTTGATCTCATGGATAATCTTTTTATCACTTAAATATGTCATGTATCAATGTATTATATATGCATTTAAGATAAAACATGTTTTCATGTTTCCTGTTTTTTTTTTATTCAAATAGCGCGCTATAGCGGCGCTATAGCGGCGCTATAGCGGCTGCAGCAGCCTAGCGCTATGGCGCTATAGCGGCGCTATAGCGCGGCAATAGCGGTGCTATAGCGGCGCTATAGCGGCCAATAGCGCCCAAAAATAGCCGCCGCTATTTTGCGTAGCCCGCGATCAAAAACGTTGGGGCAGATAGATTTGACCTTTATTCGATTCTAATCGAAAGTTCCAATGAAGATTGGTCACACGGTAGTCGGGTCTCGGCGTCGGGTGCAGCGGATGGTGGACGGGCGCTGGCAGCGTTCGTGTGCGCGTCGGGCGCTGGCAGCATGCACTCGCGGGTAGTCCTACGCCTGGGCTGACTGGTGCTTGCAGGTGGACGCACGCGGGCGTGGGCAACAGGTCTCCTAGGGGCGCAAGGAGTAACGCGCGCGTGGTGGTCGGGCGCGCTGGGAATTCTAGGCGCTCGCGGACTGGCGTCGTGCATCTGGGAACACGCAGCGTGCGAGTCACGTCTCCTGGGCGCACTAGGAATGGCGCGCGCATAGTTGTCGCACGCTGGGACCTCGCGCGATCGACGACAGGCAACGATGGGCCGCAGGAACAACTCGTGGGCGGTACTGGGTGATCGCAGTCTTCACAGGGCGTCGTAGCTGGGCGTCGCTGGCGGGGATTGGCTGTGCGAGACTGCGTGCGGCGGCGTGCGGTGGCGCGTGGTTGGGCTCGGCTGACTTCCGGCGGCAGTGGCAATTTCTGGCGGTGGTGCACGGCGGCGAACGGCGACGGTGAGCTGGGGAAGATGACCGGAAAAATATATGTGGAAGATTATCGAATATATTGTACCCAAAAGCCTTCTAATGAATTACCTAAACACCTACTTCAATTAAACGTGGTGAAGCGTTTAATCGAATCTCTCTAACTCTCGAACGAAGCTATTTATCACGTGTATGTAGAGAAAAAAATCGGCCAACATAAACTTGTAGGAGAGATTGGGACATGGTGTATTTATAGGTTCCATTAGGGACCTTAAGGAGGTGCTAAATATGGGCTTATCCCATTAGGCCAAGGAATCCTAATTCTACTCCAACTACTAATCCATCCTAGGAAGGAACTCCCCTACACTCATCACCTTCTAGAAGACTCCCAAGTCTCCTAACCTTAGACAAGATTCTAGTAAAAATATTCCTCTCCTAATGGAATAATAAATATGGAATAAAATTAATTCTCTTATTAAATGGAATTAAATAATAAAACATGTCACTAGAGTAATATTATTGCTTTTCCCATTTAGCTCATATTTTATTAATAAAATCGAGCATCTATGATTAAATAATATTAATCTGATTGATCGATTTACCTCTCTATGTTTAAGATATAACATCCGTTGATTTATTAAATTACTGACAAAATAAATAATCAACTTCTTATTCATTTTCGAAATTAGTACCACTCAGAACCTTAACCATTATGTCACACAATCGTCTACCTAATGTACATTCTTGAGCTCATTTCGGGGACGTCATCAATCCAGCGCACTGGAACATATTGACCATAAATAATTTATAATAGCACATCATATAATCATTCTCATTTACCAAAATACCTCGTATGTCATCCTAATAAATATAGGAAACACTTGGTAAATCAAATAAACAAGAAGTGAATATATATGTCTATTTTATATTATCTTATAGCTTAAGAGAACACATCAATCACCGAAGGTCTGGATTACAACAACGATCAGTGAGTCTCATAATCTTATCATTTCGCACTCCTATTCAACAATTATCATAAGTGCTAGTGTAATTCTTCAGTCAAAGACCAACTGAATCAAGAATACACTACAGTCTTTTTCCAAGAAGGGTCTCACTGCCTGTCTAGACTGAGAACAAATAGTTTAGTCTTATAAGGAACTGATAGGTGATCTTTCTGCTCGAAACACTTCGAACAACACTATCTTAATATAAGACAAGGAGTATGATTTGCATAAATAAATGAACTGCAAACATATGTACTTTGACTGAAACACAATGGCCAGATCAAAATGGAATCGATAGAATCTGTAAAACAGAGCTTTTACAGCATATCTCTAACATGCATAGGCATCACACGTTTCGCGCGCCCGGTCGTCCACAGCGTCCCGCGCCCGCGCGTGGTCTTGGGTCCGTCTGGCGTGCGTCCCTCCTATTCCTTGAAGGATCCTGCCCGAGCCTGCATCGGCTAGTCCTACTAGGGATATGCTCCCGACTGCGTTGCATGTTCCTTCGAGGATTACCGTCGTCGATCTTTCATGCGCATACCAGCACTCAACTGCTTTCCCTAATCCTGCGGGATCTAGTATTCGCGCCTTGCCTATTCTTATGAGGATTAGGCTTGTCATCCTGTTCTTGCCTCCCATTGCCCGTGCGGGCTTTCCGCGCACGTTTATGCCCTCGCTCGCGTGAAGGCGAGCATCTGTCCATCCAAATTTCTTTGCCCTGCTATGTTCGTCGCACGCGTCCTCGCCCAGCACGCGCGCGCGCTCTTTCTTGGCTATCTCTTTGACAGATTGGCGCGTGATCCTTGAGCTCTCCTGGGCTCGGTCCGCCATGTGGCCAGGTCGCCTAGCCACATACTCATCATTCCCGCCCCCTTTAAGTACATCCTTTTTTCTCAAGGATCGAGGCTAACTCCAACCTCCTAGTCTCGGCATCTCGGCTTATTCTCATCGGTTTGGTTTTTAGCATGACGAGTCGGCTTCCAGAGTAGAACTCCATTGTGCCTTTCTTGTAATTCGTAGTGACTTCTCCAAGTCATTCGAGGCATTGAATTCCAATAACTATCTCGGGCCCCACAATAAGTAGTGCATAGATGTCGGCTTTGATGATCTCACCTTGCAGGTTGATGGGCACATCCTGATAATATTCGTGACATCTTAGCCGTTCTCCATTGGCAACCCTGACATCGAACGGTTACACCTTACCTGCCTTGAGCTTTAAGTCCTTAGGTACTCGGTCGCAAATAAAGTTGTACGATGAGCCTGTGTCGACTAGTACCTCGATTGGTCGTTCCTTGATCATAGTGGGCAGTCGGATTGTTCTCGGCCCTTGTAGGCCTACCATTGCATTAACTAAGATCTCCAAATCTTCATTTACTCGCTCCCCCGATTGGTCCTCATAGGTCTCTTCCTCGTCCGTTTCGATGACGTCGATCCGAAAAAGTTGTTTGCATCGATGGTCCAGAGTGAACCTTTCTTCGCATTTGAAGTAGAGACCCTTCTCACGTCGGTGTCTTATCTCCTTGAACGTGAGTTTTTTAATGCCCGAAGGTGGCGTTCGAAAGTTGTTCGGCGGTTGCGGGTTGGGATGGAAGTTCTCAAGTTCGATGGTGCGTTGTCCACGATTGCGCACTCGTCCAAGTTTTGGTCCGTGCGCCGTTGTTCCATGTTGCGCACAATCTCTTGCCCAATCCTTCGTGTGGCTGTTAGGTGGTCCTCGCGGCATCCGGCCACCTCCATTGATGCGTGCATCGTCTCTGGCCACTCTAAGCGCACCTCTGCAGCTAAGTCAAACTTTAGGCCGCCTATGAATGCTCCAACCAATGCTGTCTCGGGCCAGCCGCGCACTCGGCATGCAACCGCTCGAACTCCTTCAAGTACTCACGCAAGCTGCCTGTCTGCCTTATTCATGGTAGCGAATCATCATAGTTGTGGTAGTCGGACGCCCCAAAACGCGTGAAAAACTGGCGCTCGAAGTCGTTCCACCTAATGACTCGTTGTCGGCTGCGGTAGACGCTTGTAAGCCACTGCCACCATACGTTGGCCTCTCCATCGAGATAGTAAGCCACATATCGGACTCGATCATCTCCCTTAGTCTCATTGAGCTCGAATATTGTATGGCTCGATTGAGCCATGCATCAGGATCGGTGCCGGTGAAGGTGGACAGCGTGAGCCTCGACTTGTCGGGCTTCGGGCGGTCGTGATAGTTGGACGCCTAGGACCGCCGGTCAAAGTCCTTCTCCCGATCATGATCCGCGCGCCTCCGCTCGTGCTCCTTGTTTGTTATGTTTTTGTGGTGTTTTATCGTGTATTATGTGCTTTGGTTGAGTCATTTTTAGGTTTGATTTGGTGTCAATCGGTCCATTTTGTCGCGTTTTATGTGTTTTTATCTTTTATTATGTGTTTCTTGTATTTTGGCGTATTTCCTTGTCTATTTTGGTGTGTTTAGGTCCTCATTCATGTACGGGGAGACGAGCCATTTGATCGAGCTATATGAGTTTTCGAGATAAAGATCACCGATTGAGTCACCCGAATGAAGGTATCAAGTTCGATGTTGCGTCCGCCGCGAAAACCAATTCGCGGGCCACGAGATGGCACTTTGTGGCCAATCCTATACACTCACCCGCGAAAACGCTTTGGCAAGCTGCGAAATGGCGCACCAGCAGGAGGAGAAACTCGTTGCGAAAAGGAGTTCGAGACCTGCAAACATGGCTTGCGCCCCTCACCATGCACTCGCTGCGAATGGCATTTCGCACGCTGCGAAACGGCTGGCCTGCGCCCCATATCCACACTCGCTGCGAGTCTTGTTTGGCGGGCTGCAAAAGGCACTTTTGTGTGTTATTTTCTACCAGAACTCGCTGCGAGTTGATTTTCGAGACCTGCGAGTTGCTGAATCATTAAATGTGTGTGCATTTAGTGT